ACATGAACACTGCTGCTATGAAGTCATTAGCTAAGTATCATTAAATAAGCACTGACCTTACATTTCACACTAGTAAAGCCTTAAAATAGCACTGCTGTAGTCAGCATAATTCAGGCAGAAGCTTTGTTTAGCAAAACTAAACTTCACTGATGACTGAACTAGTGCCGAATGCACTTTAAATGCAAATGTCGCCAAAATCAAACCACACATAGTATTGTTTCAGAGACAATAGGTAAAACCTGCTCTCTGTCCTTTTACGGTCCGCTATAACATCGGGAGGAGGAAGCTCCCATCCGTAAAAGATTCAGTGCTACCGTTCTCATTGCTTTTATCACTGATGGAACATCATTTGTGAAATGGTGGGCAGTTGTTCCCAAAATGATACTAAAGATACAACCTATGAAACGTTCGTGACTTCAGTGACAAATTGGTACCAACTACCCTCTAACATATACCCCGAAGAGAAAATAAGTGAGCACAGTGACAACTGGGGCTGCACCATATTGTCCTACCACCATATAAACCCAACACATTATGACTGTGTCATAATGTGAATTTGTGTTAGAACTGATAGGTCACAAAGCCTTAACTGTTTCCTTCTCTTGGGTATGTGCTATGGCACATTTTTAATTATCTAATGAATTACTGGGGTTTTTTTCCAAGTGGACCCCCTGCTTAATTTATCTGAAAGATGACAGTGAGATAATGAAGCCGTAATTTTGTTTGTTCTTCATCAGTGTAAAATTCCAGTTCTAATTTACTGCACACCTTCCAGCTCCTGTCCTGAAAACAGGACATTCTGCGTCCTTGCAGCTTACTGCACTCTTAACAGGGCTATTCAAGTGCCTCAAACTTTAAAAAAAGAAAATAATTCAATGAGTTGGTGTTGTTTTGGGAGGAAACGGGACGAGTTGAAAAGAATTACCAACCTCCACAGCTAGAAAACTGAAGCACAGAAATATTACAAGTTTACAGAGTCCCCTAATTTCTAAGTACCTAGTTCAAATCAGGCCTAGGGCCTGATTTTTTTCAGTGGTGTTAGGGCATCTGCAATTCTCATTAGCTTCAGATGGAACTCTAACTGCCCACCAGTTCTACAAATCAGGCCCTTGTTTCAAGCTGAATACCTGAAAAATGAAGCACAAACAATTAGCCATCATTAATGGAAACTGAGTGAAGTGACTTATTTACGATCACATAAAAATTCTGTGAAGCATTTAGCTTCAGCACACAATTCCCCAGATAACAGTCCACTACCATAACCACAAGACCATCTTCTTTTCACCAGATCTGTACCTCATTTGTGACATACTTTGCTATTTCCACAGTGAATAAAAAGAGTGTCCTACAGACAATAGCCTAATTAGCCACCTATTTCTTGCACTGAATATTTTACAATGGTGGTTATGTAGTAGCAGTCCTACTTAAAAGAAAAAAAAAACCCAAACACTCAAAACATAAATCAGATGAAGATATCTTTTTTTTTCCTGAGAGCTACTGTAACTCTTATCTTGGAGGTGTAAGATGGTAATAAGGTATGTGAAGCAGACAAAGCTATTCACTCTCTTTGGTGGAAGAAGCTGAACTGAAACCCTCAGCCTTTCTGCCTATTGACCAACACAGCTTCCAAAAAGCTGAAATTTTCATGCATGTCGTCTTCTTAAGCCACAGAAATTTAGGGGAATATGGCAAACTTCTGCTTCTTTTTTATTTCAGAGATGTATCTAACGTGGCAAGAATATAAACAGTGCCATGTTCTTGATCCAAAGCAATGGTTACCTTCTTCCAGGTGATTTGCCAGCAACATCCATCCTGTCTTGCAGGAAAAAAAACAACTCACACCCAAAAAACTATATACTACAAAAAAGAATAGCACTGATGAGACCATCGCTTATTGTTTGCATATAAAAAGTAGTCAGGAGATAAGAGAGGATGGAAAACGTTCACTGAATCTGCTCACCTGACTTAAAGGCTTCACTACAGAATAAAATACAGCACAGAACACTTCCAGTCAGGGTTTCACCCCAAAGTCACGTTCCAAAAATGGTAAATGCTGAGGCCTTTAAGTCAGCACAGAGCACTGAAGTCTTTCCTATTCCTTCCATGGCATAGACAACGTAAGCAAGAACCAGAGGAACACAACAAGTCACTGCTGCGTTCAAAGGTATTTCGAGCCGACTTCTGACACTGTGTGACAGAAAGACTCCAAGACAGGTAACAGCTCTGCATACATTGAAATGTTATTACTATTCCTTTTAAAAAATCATTTCTAAACATCTTTTGCTAGAGAGATGCTAATTATTTTTCAAGTTCTAGCACAGAAGTGCCTGAAGAGCCAATTAAGTCATAGGGGAAGCCATCTATCCCATTTTCTCTAGGGAAGTAAAACCCATGTGCAATTCCTACGTAGCTACTACACAACCAAAAGGGAAACGAAACCGAGAAAACCCAATCCACAATTAAGTTAGAGGAGGAAGACACCGCCCAGTCTGGAGCAGCAGTTCTTACTGCAAGTTGTTAGCGAGGACTAATTCACAGCGACAGAAGAGAAGCCAACCCAGCCTGCCTCGGCCTGGGGCCTGCGGTGTTCTGCTGTTAATCGGGTCTAAGCCTAGTCTGTATGGCTACGCTTATATTGATGGCTAAAGGGAGGGCGGAAGTGCAGGCGAGGAGCTGGGCTGGCCCAGAGCGAACCCCTTTGGCGAGGAGGGGGGTAACCCCACTCCTCCTCACGGCCTGACGCCAGAGGCATGCGTTGACGGTGGAAATCCACCTGCCCTAAGCCCTCCTCCTGGGCACTTTAACCGTCGCTCCGGCCTTTTTTCCCAGCCGAGTCCCGCACACTGCCAGGGACCCCAGCCCGGGCT